TTGAAAGTTAACAGATAATAATTGAATTATCGTGTTAAGCAAAAAGTTAGCGGTAAATCTAACAGTTTGTATGGTCCAATAAATATATTAACATGTTGCGGTAACATATAACTATGTATAGAAATTTGTAAGTTAGCATATAATAATTAAGTTATCGCATTAAACAAAAATTTAGCGGTAAACCTAACAGTTTGCATGGTCTAATAAATATTTTAACATGTAACGATACACATGTAACTATATATAAATTTGAAAGTTAGCAAATAATAAATGAGTTATCGCGATAAACAATAGTTAGCGGTAAACCTAACGGATTGTTTGATCCAATAAAAATTTTAACATGCTACGGTAATATATAAATTTGAAAGTTAGCAGATAATAATTGAGTTAGCGGGTTAAACAAAAGCTAGAGATAAACCAAACAGATTGTAAGGTCCAATAAGATTATAGATATCCATAAGAATATGAAAGTAATTGAGTTTCCATTTCGTCTAATCACAACAAAAGTGATATCAAGTTAAATAACAATCTATATCTTTATGAACATGCTAAATTATGTAGTACATCATATAAATATATAAACTCTGGTTAATATTTTATTTAACTTGATAGTTTATTTGTTATCCAATAATTTTCGAATTATCGTGTTGATGTGCGCAAAATTATCTTAAATCTGATGACATATTCAACATTTTTATTATCGTTTGACAAAGCTCCATTTTTGTTCTGCCATGGTAGAAATTGAGATACATATCTGACCAAATCATGACAATTTTGGCAAAATTTTGGCAGATATCCAACAAAAACTTGTTCAGCGAGTTAACTCCGGCCATAGATTATCGACACTCCTCTTGATTTTCCGGTGAGATCTCTCGGCTCCCAGCCATCGATGAGGTATGGCGATGACTCATCATCTACTTCAATCAAATCTGTCAAAGAATTCATGGTAACTTCAGAGAAGAAATCAAGTCCATATCTAATTGTTTCAACCACTGATGTTGTTGTCTACATGTGAGAAGACTTCAAGAGAGCTTTGGGAGTTGTCGCAGAAATGGTGGAAGAATTCTGAGAAAAAGACGATGGTGCATCGTTGTTGTGATTTACGACACGACAAAACGAAGTTAGATCCATTAATTACAGAAAACGGAGGAGAGTTTATCTATATGCATATCGATTATTTTTTATGATGAAAGAACATCACAGTTCGAAAAAAAATTTGGTTGAGATTGAAGATAAGAACGAAAGAGTGAGGAGAGAGAGCATGCGACTCAGAAAATATATTTTAAATCTTTGTCAGATGGTGTATAGAATCCAAGTTATCTCATACTTCGTTGAGGATATAATTGGAAGAAATTTTTTGAACAGTCCATATACATTTAGCAATATATATTTTTTAATATCAATTTATAGTGGGTATATGCGTTGCAAATTCTCAGGAATAAACATAGTTGGCCAGACAATATAAAAGATAAAAAAAATATTACGAAATTTGTTTTTATTAATGAAACAATTACATTTCAAATTAAACTTTTACTAATTTTTTGCTATATTTATCCACAAAAATAAAGACCAAATTTCATAAAAGTTTCCGGAAATACATAGCAAAAAAAAGTCAACTATGTGTTGTTCCAGTTAGGTCCTTTGGCATGTTTGGTTTGGGCTATTTTATCTGCAACAAGTCTATTTTACCTTTCTCTTAAGGAGTGTTTATATAAAAAGGGAACATGGTATTTATTTGTATCAGAAAAAATCAGTGAGAAAGAGTTTCAACAAAGAATGAAGGTGGTTTATTGTTAGCAAAAAAAAAAAAAAAATGAAGGTGTGTTATTGCTAAAAAAAAAGACATCTATGTGCTGCTGATGTTATTGCTGAAAAAATCATATCTTCAATTTAGAGTTTTGTCTTATATTTTAAATTAGACTGTTGAGAGAATTATTGTATGAAAACGAAATAATAATTATTTTATGAATGAATTCCTAGTTGACTTCCAGGTATTCGGTCGGTCGAACCGGTCAATTCAATCCGGTTCATAAAGCGTCGAAGAGACGCTAGACGGACTTGAGAACAACGCATCAGCCTGGTTATATATACTCAGCCTCCTTCCACTTTTCGTTTATCACATAAAAGCATTAGGAAATCCAACTCCAGCTAGGTT